TGCACAACACTAGAACGAGAAAAGCTAGTCCTATCCGTCGACATGATTTTGAAAGTAACAGTAACTTTTATAGAAGAATCTTGCTCTGGACGTACTGAAAAATCAGGCATTTTTGTGAGAAAAGCTTCCTGTAATTCGAGATGATAAACAAAATTACTTATTTTTATAGAGAATCTAGTATGAAGTGAGAACAATCTATTGGCTAAAAAAGAAAAATAATACTTCTTGTTTCTGCTTTAAAAACTAAGAGATACGAAAAAATACGTAGGTGTCCGGATATTTTTTTGACTACCTGTAGCTTTCTGAAAGTATTAACTGAACTTTAATGTTCTTTTGCTCTGATGTTGAATCTTCAAAATATAATTATTTATCAACAACCTAGCATGTAAACGGAATTTACATGAATACGCAATATCGTGAGAAAATAATAGTGTTACTAGCTCAAAGCTCTCAAGTATTATAAAGTCCATCAGACGTACCTTAAATTAACGTTTCAAATCTCAGTTTTGGTGATTCAACATTTTTAGAAATAATTACGAATACGCCAAAATCCCAGTAAAACAATCATAACTCTCGATCTATAGATTACGGTCACGAATCTTATCAGAATTTTCTTAGCCTCAATTTGTTTTCCCTAACTAAAATATAAGACTGAACAGCGTCCGTACTTGGATTTTAATCCTTTGATGCCGTTTATCTTCGCACCACTTATTTTCTGTAGAATACACGAATTTTTCACGAAGTTTCTTTGAATATTCACATTTCTGTGAGAATGACATGCATTTGAAGTAAATAGACGAGTCAAAATCAGAAAAACAATAATGTTTGATTATTTTTATACTTGTCATTTGTCTTGACGACGATATTTTGAGCTTCAAAAATATTATGTACATAATAATAGATTGGATTACGTTGCAATCTTGATCTCAAGTATCAAGTATTTTCTTGTTTATGAACATCGATAACAGATAGACCATAGAAAGTTATTTCCTTGTTCCAGTAGCCTAACAGAAACTCGATAGTCACAGTGAATATAGGCAGAATCCAAGAGGAAAACAATTGACTTTTATGACTTTAAAGTCATTTAGATCACATAGATCACATGTAGATCATTTAGATCACTTAGATCATTTAGATCATTTAAGTCATAAAGTCAGTTGTTTCCCCCTTGATGAGAATGGTACTTTAGTTCCTTATCATAAGCTTTAAAAACCTTTTTTTCTATATAGTCTGATAGAGAAAAGGATGCTCTATTTTTCTATGCTATTTGATTATACTTCAATTAATCTAGTGATAATAAATTTTCGGTAAGACTTTTTTCATTACCATATTCACTGGATGAAATTTTGCATTGCAGTTCTCTGTCCCCTAATACATCGTATCAACAATCAAAATATACCATAAGATGCAGCGTGAAAAGCTCTACATTTTATACACGATCAATTATTTTCTAGTTACACTGTTTTGGTTTCAAAATACACTATGTTTTGAGGGACCGAATTTTGGGCATTGCGAAAACTGGTATCACAGAAGTTTCCTTTTTATGAAGACAATTACAATAAGCTTTACTGTGAAGAATGTAGAGCTTTTCAAGCTGCATCTTTTGATGCATTTTGTTTTTCTATTGATAAAGTATATCATATGAAAAAACGATAAAAAAAATTAATTCGCCATGTATCAAAAATATTATTTATTGTTCATGGTCGAAATCTCATCGGCCAAAACCTTGTCAATTTTGAAAACAAAAACTGCAACTAGAAAATAATTGATCTTGTATAAAATGTAGAGCCTTTCACGCTGCATCTTATGGTATATTTTGATTGTTGATAAGATGTATTAGGGGACTGACAACTACAATGCAAAATTTCATCCAGTGAATATGGTAATGAAAAAAGTCTTACCGAAAATTTATTATCATTAGATTAATTGAAGTATAATCAAATAGCATAGAAAAATAGAGCATCCTTTTCTCTATCAGACAATATAGAAAGAAAGGTTTTTACAGCTTCTTATAAGAAACTAAAGTAACATTGCCATTATTTTTTGACTGCCCTATGTAAAACCGGATTTTGAAGAAGTTTCACATGATCAAGATTATAGAATTCTCTGTCAAGATTGTTATTATGATCGGTTTGACTCTTTTGAAGCACTCAAAATGTTTCTTTCAATATGTTTATCTTAGTCGAGTGATTAAAATGTGTTAGAGGAGTCGGTAGTATTATTTCGATGGGTGACTTCTCTCGGAGTACTCGAAACTTCGATGAGTACCGAGGTGCCGAAATATATACGACCAGTCAAAAATGAGTCGTCGATAGGACACAGTGTCCGAGTGCTCGAAATTCGATGGGTGTCGAGGGGATCAAAATTGCAACAGAACGAAAAAAAAATATATATCAGATTTTCGACCGCTCCTCGCACCCATCGTATGCTTTTATTGGTCTGCTTGGGATATGTCAATGAAATTACCTCTTTTCTAGAACTGTGCGCCCATTATATTTTACTAAAGAATCTTTTATGACATTTATCCTCATCATGGAGCTATTAAATAACACAAGCATCAAATGAGCCCATTATCTCACCTCGCTATTATGACTTAAGAATTTTTTCGGTCATTCTAACCACAAAGTCATTTTAGAAGAAACACTATTTTTGCAAAACCTATCCAGTCGAATTTTTGTGATGTCATAGAAACAGCTGTTATTTAATTAGAACTATTCGTTCTTCTGACAATATCCTAAGCAAATCGTTCTCCAAAATTCTGTTGAATATACATTTCTCTACGAAAATTTCCTGAAACACTTTTTATGTGTACAGTATCATATTTTATTTTCAGCATAGTCAAACCTTTTTAAATGGTAAAAGAACATAATGTTGAATAGTCTTTTTTTCTATATGGGGCTTCACAAAGCTCATTAACAATTCTTGCTACAGACGTTCTGTGACAAGCATTGCTTTACAATAGTTAACATTTACGATTCTTTACATTTAGAATTTCAGAACCTTTTTGCCAACAGGAAAATCATCACTATGATACGAAAAAAATAAAATATAAGCTTAGTAATGCTATTTAAGACTATAACAATTCACTGAATACTGATGATAAAGAAAACGCCCTCTGAATAAAATGCAATTCCAAAACACTTACGTTTGCTCTCAGTATTATACGAAATCTTGTGTGCTGACGACCAGAAGAATACTAATATACCGACGTTATTGCATATTAGAAATAAAAACAAGACATTGTTTATATGTACACTACTAATATAAGTTTGGCTTGTGTGCCTTCATTCGTGTCCGTGAAATAACTAATGATCAAATAGTATTTAGATACCTTGTTTATTTCACACAAGTACTATCATCTTTTTGCGTGTTCGATTATATATTATGATATATTAATGAGATATGTGATTTCTTTCGCATGAAAATATTATATTCATTTTGCTTGTTATATTATTGATTATGATATATTAATGAGATACATGGTTTGTATTCCCCATAAAAATATCATCGTTGTTATGCTCGTTCTATTACTCATCGTTCGAACAGCTTGAATGGTTGCAAGATAGCGTGAATCGAAGGTAGAAAAAGTATGTACTATAACACTACATTACTTGATTTTTTGCCATCGTTGCAGTATCAACAAAATGTTAGCATTTTACAAGCAATTCTATACCGCTGAATAGCATGATTCTGGTTCAACCAAGCCTTATATGTTCCTTTCGCATATGCGAGAAGATATTTGTTTTTGATATTACTTCAAGAAGTTTTTCGTGTTTGTGAACATGTATTTCGCCAAAGATCGAGACATAGATGCATTTCTGGGTTCAGTGCCAATATTAGTCCTCTTCTAGAATCATTCTTAGTCACAGCAACGACCCGACTCTCAGTTTCAATATATGTCTCGGTCACCATCAGCGTGCACATCTTTCATCTCTTCGCTGTACATGTCTTTGTTCCGAGTACGATTGCTATTCCATCATGATTCTCATTTATGCTGCACTCCAAGTCGTCATCCTTCTATCAATCTCAATTGGCATTCAACTTCGGACGTGACTTACAGTCCATGTCGCATAATCGGCTACATTATCGACTTTAGATCTAATCCCAAGATCTATCGTGCTGGCTGTGTGTAGCACAAGCTCCGCCAGATCTCACTTCTTGTGCAGATTTCAGGGTAGGTTCTGTGATCTATTGAGATTTCGCCTCTGGTTCTGTATCCATTTCGGAGCTTTTCACAAATCGGTACTCATCTTTGTTTCAGCTGCGATTGAATTACTGGTCTCAGCTTGGATTTCAGCGTCCGACTAAATTCGGAATTTCCCCGCCCATTGGTCAATATTAATTTTATGTGGTGTAGCCAGGATCTACATTCATGCTCAGTAATAATCTGCAAGTCGAATCTAAATCATTATTATCATTGTTAAAATTTTTTGTCTATCAGTCTATATGCAGAATAAAATTGAATGCTTAAAGGAATATAAAGAATATGACCAAAAATAGCACAAACGCTTCTGGACTTCTACTTATTTTGATAGACAAACATGTTATTTAATAATATACTAAAAAGTATATTTTCCATCGAAACTCGAATATTTAACATAGAAAATGATTTATTTATTTTTTTTTGTGTTTAGCAGCCATCGATGTCTAACTTCATTTCATCAGTATTTTTTCGTTTTTTTTTTATAATAAAAGTCTAAAGAAGAACAACTAATGTTCGAAAATATTTTCTTGAACACAGTCGAGACAAATGGAAATTATACCCTTCGTTTTTTTTCCTTTTTATTTTATGTACAAATAATAACTTAGTAGAGAATGCATTAATGTGTAGTATAGAACATATGCTAGTAGATCGATCATATATAGATGACTCATATATGTTCTTTAGTTAAATTTAAACACATATAATGTTTCCATCACAAAAAATTTCCACTTGCAACTATAGTTTTCGTAGCATATTTTTCATTTACGTTTTCTGTTACTACATACAACACTTTAAAATGCCCACATGTGATACATATACGTCATCATCCAAGCAACACGTACTAGAAGAATATCGGTCATATAAACGTGGTTTTGGTTTTAAATCATTAGCTAAAAAATGGAAAATACGTGGTGATATGCTGGTTAGATATTGGTATCAACGATGGGATGGAACACAAGAATCATTAGTTGATCAACAAAAATCATATAAACAAAGGCATCTAAGTGTGAACGACAGTCATCGATATATATTACGTCCGGTACTAAAAGCTATTGAAAAAAGAAAAAAAATTTCATGTATTGATATATATAAGAATCTTCAGAACAAAAAAAACCTCTTCTTAATATATCATTGTCCACTGTTCGTCACTATGGTAAATATGACTGGAACTTAAGATGGAAAAAGAATAAACAACGTCTTGAAATCGAAGGTATGAAAATATTACTTTAATATCATTTCCCTATATTTTTATTAAAGTTCAAATGCATGCATACTAGACTACTTGAATTTTTACCCATCTGTATACATATTTAGATACTGATGCCTATTGGAAACAATTGGCTGAATGTCGAAGAATATTACAGCGTGTGAAAAACAAGAACCTGCTGATGATAGATGAAACATGTATAAAAGGCAGTGATCGTTCTCCTTATAGTTTAGCACCACCAAATAAAGATACATTAGTATCAAGTGTTAGACCATCAAGCTATACCAAACGATATGATGTTATGGCTGGGTGTGGGTGTGAGTGTGGGTGCGGCTGTCGGTGTGGCTATGACTGTGGAACTAGAACGACACCCACATCCACACCCACACCGACACCCACATCCCACATCTACACTCACACACCCACACACACCGACACCCATACACCCACACACATCCACACACTCACACATACCTACACACACTCACACCCACACCCACACACACCCTAGTTGGATCGATTTCTAATGTTTCATGGGACTGTTTTTCTCAGATGAAACGGCACTTTACTCTTTTTTTTTCTTTAAATTTTCTTTTCTTTTAGTTAATATTAGATCCCAATCAACTTTTTTGAGCTAGTTGAAGCATCATTGGATAGGTTTTGTTCAAACGTATTCAAGGATTATATCTGTGTGTTCTAGATGTCTAATAAGAAGCTTATTCAAGTCTCAATGATGATCTCTATCGCATATCGAAACAAAATCTCGTAAACGTTGAAAAAGCGATCACTAGTAAGTTGCTTGTTAAAACATGTATTCTTGAAATTATGATTTTTGAATTAGTGAGCTACGTAGTTTATTTAATAATATAGTTAATGGTACTCTCATACATAGAAGATATGATTATTGCATTTGTATGCACTAGTTTTTCATTTCTCTATTTTAGATATACCTTATGCTGATAAATTGTTTATCAGGAGTTCTATTGACATAACGCAATATTCCGTATAATAACAGAAAGTATAAGCTGTATGCTACCAAAAATCGATATAAATACAACTATATGCGATGAAATATGATCCCAATGGCATGCATAGGTCTTGAGTCAAACGACTCTAAATGGTGCCGTTCACGGTCCGATGATGACAAAATATACGAATGGTTTCTTTGACCTAATAATAATATGTTTATGTCTGTTTCTGGTGAACCTCGACCACGACGATTGAAAAACATTTTTATATATCTAAAATAAAAATGTTGTTGCTTTTTAAAGTAAAGTTTTTTTCTTATAGCTTGGAATTTTTGCGTTATTTCTGTTCTTGTGCAATATTTTTTTACTTCCTCTGAGCAAAGTCTTTTTTTCTCTCTCCTATTTGTTTTTTTACGATAAGGAATGCGACATATTTTCGTTTTGGTTGTATTGTTTTTTATAAAATTTTGTTGTTTGATGACATGTGCTTGACGAAAGAAAAAAGTGGTATGCGAACATAACGTATTTTTCATCAGGTGAGACGTAGAAGTTTTGAATTCTACAATCAGAAAGATAGCATTTTCAGCACATCTCATCATACTTTATATCTAACACTTTTAAAATAAATACATACTCATAACATGAACCAATGGACCTATAAAATGAGATTTTTTTGAAAACATGGTGTTAATAACATTATATTTCATATTTTACTTTTATAGGAATTTTCTTGATCATATTTAAAATAACTGATTAAATATGTAGTGAAAAATATAAAAAACTTAATATTAATATTAACTCTTCGATCACATTTGTATTTTTCATGTTTCAATTTTTTTCATCATTTTATTAATAATAAAATTCGACGTTTAACAAAAAATACTTTTCAGCGATATTTTAGATGTAAAAAAATGTTTAAATAATTTTTTTCTTGACATTATGTTTGGACGACTTCAGAGAATTCTGTTTTTACTTATGAAGAATTATTCGAAATATGAATTTTCTAAACCTTTAAAATCTCAATCAACATTTGATTTTTTTTGTATATATTATTTTAATTTAAATTTCTTCATAATAATTAGTGTTTTTAATTGAAAATTATAAAAAAGTCTTTCTTTACAGTTTTTTAAAAATAAAAATTCAAGTCGTTCGCTAACATCAACAGATCAACTAATCTATCTGTAGAAAAAATATTTTCCTTTTCGATTTCTTATTGTTCAGCCGCTAAAATAGAATGATATTTGAATTCGTAAAAGTTGTTTCGAGCATTATTTTTAAATAACGGAAGGACCACCCGAACTGTAATTCGCCATTTGAGCTCATGTTGAGTTCAGACGAATATCTTGGTAAGACTAGAAAAAACTTAAAAGACCTCAGGTCCATGGACCTCTGGAACTGAGTTGCGATCGTTTTACTCAGTTTTTAACCTATAAATAAGTCTAATGACTCTTGGAATATCCTGAAAGTTGTAGCCTAAAAAATGTTCCTTAGTCGAGATACTGAGCTTTCAAGTATGCCCAATTTTTGTGACATGTCTCTTGGAAATTCAATATCTCAATAAATAGAACATGCTTTTCGACTCTTAGACCTATTGATGGGTTCAATATGAGGTCGAAATTCCATTTTCCATGAAATACCATAAAATTGATCGAAAAGTCAGTAACATGGTTATAACTCGGCCGCAGAATTCATAGACACGAACTCCATTAAACTTTTTCTATCCTTACCAAGATTTCCTAATAGATCCAATATGAGCTCAAACAGTGAATTATAGCTATGGCAGTTCCTTCTTTTAAAAGTCTTAAAAATTTGAATGCAATGACAGTAAAATGACAAATTTATATTTTTTTTATGGTATGAAGTCTTATGACAATATTGATCTTTTTAGTAAAACGCATCAACAAGATAATCAAATGACGTTCAGAAAATTATTTCAAGCAGTGGTACCTGAAGGACCTGGAAATAGTTCAGATGCTGATGAGGCGTCTCCGATTAATATAGAACGTATCGCCACTGATCAATACGATTCTATCGGGTCGTTCTATAATGCACATGACGATAATGTCAACGGAAGATTAAGTGTTGCGATCAAAATTAAGTATCATAAATCCACTGAACAAATTAAATGCATTCTGATCAAGAGATCTGCACACGAGCATCACAAATTACTTGAATTTGTTGATGTCGGTCATCAACAACGATTAAGTATATTGTTAGAAATGACTCGTGCAGCTGGAATAGCTTCTCTCATTGATTATCCTCAATTGATTGATGAACACACTCGACTTTTTTATATTTATCAAGAATCACATATACAATCAGAGAAAGATCATTTCCATCACTTAAAAAATGCGGTGCGATCATCCACATGCGAAACATTTGCAACCCATATTATAACTAAAATCATTTCAGGTATTCATCTTCTAGTCATTCTACAATTATCTCCTGATAAAGAGAAAGAAATTGATGTTATGCTAAAGAAATTACAAGAAAGTATAATTAATAATTTGCCTGTCGTAAAAATAGACTCAAAAGAACAAGATCTGCTTGATCAAATCATCTCGACTACAGTCTATTCAAATATAGATGTTGTAACGAAAATAAAAAAGTTGCCACATATTTATGAGACAATAATACAATTGCAAAGAGATGATCAAGCACATGGCCGATTAAAATATATTCTGACTCCTATTCAATGGTTCTATGGCCACCATGCTATACATATGCTAAAATTAATTCTATGTAAGTCAGAAGATATTGAAACTCTTGAGTATTATTTACTTCAGCAAAAATCTGAATTAAAAGTATTGAATTTTTGTGTCAATCATAATTTATTTGAATTACTACAAGGTAAATGTCAAAAACAATTAAAAAATATTCAGGAAGAACTTTCAGAATTACACGTTTTACATGTGAAAGATATTGAGCGAGTTCATAACGTACTTTTGAAAATTCGAAACGAAACGATCAATCAAAGTTTAATAAAGGAAGAAGTGAGTTTGGATTCACCAGAAGAAATTCAACAATTGATTAAAAATATTACCAACCATATAAATGCATTGAAATCGAAAGGAAATTTAATCAAACAGCTACAAAGTGATGGATTTGAATACTGTGATGTTGCAGATTTAGGCATCCGAAATGGCTTAGAAGGAGATCGAATCAATGATATGCTTTTTGACAATGATTCTCACAAAGCTATATTTTTGTCAAATGACAAATTTAGAAATGATGATCAAGTAGGTTGGGTTGAACTATATTCCGAAATGATCCAGGAAAGCAAAACGAATCCTCAACTACGCCTTGTTGTGTACTCAAAAAGTGAGTACACTACTAAAATCGGTCAGTGTGTCCGGCCGTCCGGCCGTTTATCCGATAACTTTCGAAAGGAGAGTCAGATCGCGATGAAATTTTCTACACAGTTCAGTCTTTACAATATCTCGGTCGAGTTCGAAGATGAGAAGAATCCGTCGAGAAATGGCTGAGTTATAAAAAAAATGGTGATTTTTGACCAGGCCATCCCTGAGGGGGGGGGGGGTACGGGGATTTTTCCAAAAAAAGTTTTTTGCTCATAATTATTCACAAAATACATTAATCGACTCAGTTTTTAACGCCGATTCTGAATCTGATATTAGTTTTGAAGCAAATTATAGTTTTTGTGTACTCAAAAAGTGAGTACACCATAGGATAGTCATTGGCCGTCCGTCCGGTCGGATGTTTACATGATAGCTTTTGACAGCAGAGTCAGATTGCGATGAAACTTTCTACACACCTTAATCTTAACAATATCTTGATCGAATTCGAAGATGAGAAGGATCGGCCGAGGCGTTCCTGCGTTATTGCAAAAATACGCATTTTCCCCTATGGCTTCCTATGGAAAAGTCGACC